AGAAATATGTCCACGAGTGCGTATAGATGATCGAGAATGTCTCAGACATGTCGTCCAAAATTTAATTTAATTTTCTTAATAACATAGAAACATTGAGTGTGACGAATCATTATTTATAATATTTATAGGGAATAACAGCACAATAGGATATATTATTACTCTAGGTCTCTATAGTGGTCTCTTTCCTTTATGATTTCCGAAAAAAACTTTGGTTGTGTCCATGATTTATAACATGAGTCCTTCATACTGCTTATGTTTGTCTACGTTGATTTGATGATAACAATATATTTTATTGAAGGGAACAAATTCTGAAACTCACCATTATTCAATGGCATCGTTCTTCGTGTTCGTCGGAACTTGTTCTCGAACGCTCTAAATCCCATTTTATTTCAGTTTGCTCATAAGCCATTAAACGCATATGAAACAATTACTTTTTTGTCATTAGTGTTTCAAACAAAATATAGGAATATTAAAGACTCTAAACTTAACAGTAACTAGGATTCTTAGATTTTAATATGCTACTAACTTGTAAGAGATTGAGGTTTTCATGATATTGAAAATGTTGTTATTAATATTTTCGATTTTGGCACTACGTAGACTTATAAGTTAACGCATCTCAACCTAAAAGACTATAGTAAATTTTTCCAAACTTTACTATAAATTTAGTTTTGATCCGTTGTTAAATATTAACTTTGCATATTTTAATGTGTTTTATTGTATTGCGATTATTATTTTATTATTTAGTGTTCTGTCTGAGGACAGGTCCATATGAACAGGATCCTTCCATCCTTTTCTCGGACTGGGACCTGTTCATATACGTTCTTGGCAGATGATCCAGAAGTGGTTTGCCATTGCCTTCTTCTGCGTGTGAATGGAGTAATTGTTGGGATGCCACGGAGAAACCGGGGAAGCCCCCGGAGGAAAACTCCGTGTTGCCAAGACCACGGCCTTGCCCAACACAAGTTATAAATTCGGGCACCGCCGGGAATCGAACCCGAGACCCCCAGGATTACAAGGCCAACGTTCTAACCGCTAGACCACCGTGGCGATATTGTATTGTGATAACGAGACGTAAACTGTGCTTGTTTCTAAACCTTTATCCTCATTACCGTCTAATAAATGGAGAATGTTCTAAATATCTCACGGTATTTTACGTCTATGTAGATTCAAGTCTGCGACATGAAGAGATTGAAAATAAAGTTATTTTTGTCTAGGTTGACAATATTAATTTAAGCCATTTGTTTACTGTTTAGAAGCATTAAAATTTTAGAAGACATCATTTTCAATATATTTTATAAATAATTGTTTTATTATCTAATTTTTAAACACGCTGTAGTTTCTTCTGATGGAGGGTTTCCTTCTTTTAACGAGAACGAATTTCGCACTCCTAGTGCAGACATTTGAAATCTGTGTTTTTAATTACTTTATTTTAGGCTTTCGTGTCTGAACTAGACATCTGGCTTACACATGATTCTATTTATGCAGCATTGAAGGACAGAGAAATTAATTTCCGATTCTGAATGCTGAATGTGCTGGTAACAAGCTGTGGTAAAACAACACTGAGTAGGTTTGAATACTGGAATTTCAGTGACAGAGGCATGGCCCACCACCCCTCCTGTCGAACCAGACGCTTTTGCGCCATTGTGTTCTGCAGCCGACATCATGGAAAGGGAGTTGGGAGTGGCCAGCGGGAGTGGGTGCATTTGGTAGGGGATAAATTGAAGAAACAATGGGTACCGTATACAGAATTGTAAACGCTGTGATCAGGAAGGAAGCCCCAATTTCCAGCGCAATATATGGACGTACCCCATCTCAATCTGCAATACAATCAGTCGACAGTCACAGTCGGGCTGCTGGATCAGCAGATAACAGAATTCCATCTAACCCTACTGGACAGAGCTCAGTCACTGACAGCATGTGGCCCGAGATTGACAGCATTCGGGCAGCAAATACTCGACCGTATATCTAGTGTGCACGACGTGTGTGACTTTCATTTCATGGTCCCTGTATCCAACCCAGATATCAAATATAAACCTAGCTGATGTGTCTTACCCAGACCAGAAACTCCCCGGTAATAGCGCGTAGATTAACGTATTTATAAACATACTATACAATTTATATAGTAGTCGTCACCAAATTACAAATTTCAAGGTCACATAAAAGCCATATGACACTGAAACAGTGGTATCTGGACGACTGAAGATAGTTGCTATTAATACCAACGCTGTACCGTTGAAGTCTTTCCGTGGCCTTGAAACATGCAATTTGGAGATCGCTAACAAGGAATTATTAACTGTGCCCTTGTTAACAAGGTATTCGCATACCCTCAGTTTGCGGGCTGAGAAAAAGACTACAGGCTGCTCAAATATGGAATAAGCAGATGTTGACAGCCGACAAGGGGCGTTCCTCAGCATTGAACGTACAGTGGATGTGACGATAATATTTCATTGTAAAAATAAAACATGGAAAATAATGCTATATAATATCTTGGGTGGAGGGGGTGTGGACTGGATTCATTTGGCTCAGGATAGGGGCCGGTGGTGGGTTTCTGTTGGCATGCTAATGAATACTGAGGTTTAGAATGTATCGATAGGCTTACCAGTTATCGACTATTGTTTTCGAATAACACGGAAATCTAATCCAGTTTGTGGTGAGGTTTTGAAACAGCCAGCTCGGTTCTGTGGAAGATTCCCTGATCTGTCCCTAATAGGCATTAATGCTCACTAGCTTAAACTAACCGCACAAAAGGTTAGTATTCATGCAAAATGATTGAACCGACTTTTTTAAAACAAGTTTATGCTCAGTAGGATTTGAGATTTTTACGGTGGTGAATCTGAAGAGTGCTGTCTTCTGGGTTGTTACACCGTGTAGACAACAACCTAGAAGACAGTCATCTTCAGATTTATATTAAGTTATCTTCTGACAACCAGTAGATTTATATATTAAATCTTGTCCGTCTAATCACAATAAATTCTTATTAAATATTAAAATATTACAATAATTAACATTTAAAATATT